CAGCGAGATTGTTTAAATAATCGTCAGAGCTAAAACACTATTTAAGCACATGTAGAAAAAATATATATATTTATTTTATTATATCCATCATGTTGGATATATATTTACTGTATAGATAGGAACCAATACAAACACTGTTATATAATATATTATTGTTAACTCAAACCAAAGAGACAGTCCAAACAGCTTTTTAATTATATGTTTTCATCATTGCCAGTTTATATATCAGCAAGGTAGGTTTTTCTATAGCATTTGTAATAATTATGTCAGAGATTTTTTAAAAAGTTCACTTATTTATCGGTTCCATGCATTCTAGTATAATGTAGGCCTATAAGTTTACGAGAATTTGTGTGGATTTTGTTTTTGTTAGTTTCATGTGAAATTTGCTTTTCTTCACTATGTCCGCATTGTGATATCTGTTTGCCATCATATTAGTTACATCAGGTGTAAAAACAAACCTAAAACTTTGCTTAGATATTGAATTTTTGAAGAGATAACACGTGATGACATCGTCTTCCCAAAAGTTACCAGTGCTCTGGCCACTGGTAAAATTTACCATGGTAACTCCAATGGCAAGTTGTTAGTGAATACCACCGCTGTTTGTTTACCATGGTAACTATAGTTACCAATGATTTTACCATCGTAAGTGCGTTAGTGAATCCGGGCCCTGGAAAATATATGTAGAGATAGTAGTAGGCTTATGTCCTTGACTCTTACCCTATTGCTTTGATTCTTTTCTTTTTCAAATTATCTTGGCAGAGGATTAAGAGAAGGTGACATGTGTGATAATGAAAATTTCGTTACGTCCTTGGAAAAGGTATTTCCCAAGAATCATGTTTTTCGTCCATGACCTTCACTTCGCGTTCTTTTCTTGTCTCTCCGCCTGCCTGTCTGTCTTTAGTTTTCATTCTCAAAACGAGAGATGAACAAACACGCTAAAGAAAGACTCACGGAATAAGGTTTATTGGAAGGAAAGACACATTTTCGAAATCTGGAGAAAATGATTGCCTGACATTTTTAACAAATCCCTTGTGTGTAGAATGCTTTCAATGCCCAAGAGAGAAAAGGAAAGTGACGAAGAAAATAACACAAGCGTCAAGCACATCACCGTAAAGTTAGTAAAGTTCTCTCACACACTTTTTTCTTCCAACATCCGTATCTCTCTCTACCTATCTTGTGTTTTCTGCTCTCCTAGTCTTGTCATACTGTTTTTTTTCACGTTGCATCTTGCTTGCCCTGTCAGCTTCGAGTGCTTTCAAGTCGCGTTGATAAAGGGACTTTAGATTGTTTGTCGGTTCGTGTTTGAGTGGGTTATCTGTTTTATTGATTAGCTAATTGTTTCGGAGTTCCATTTTTGTGTGGTATCTGCCTGTGTTTGTCTCTCCCTCTGACTCGCTCGCTCTCGCTCTCGCTCTTTCTGCCTCTCGCTCTCTCGCCGCTCCTCTCTCCCTCTCTAGATATTTCTGCCTTTCTCTCTCTCTCGTTCTTTCTGCCTCTCACTTTCCCTTTCTGTCCTACCTCTTACTCTCCCTCTCTCTCCTACCTCTTACTCTCCCTCTCTTACTTCACTCTCTCTCTCTCTCTCTTACTTACTCTCTCTCTCTCTCTCTTACTTCACTCTCTCTCTCTCTCTCTCTCTCTCTCTTTCTTACTTCACTCTCTCTCTCTCTCTTTCTTACTTCACTCTCTCTCTCTCTCTTTCTTACTCTTCACTCTTCTCTCTCTCTTCTTACTTCTCTCTCTCTCTCTACTTCTCTCTCTCTCTCTCTTACTCACTCTCTCTCTCTCTCTTTCTTACTTCACTCTCTCTCTCTCTCTTTCTTACTTCACTCTCTCTCTCTCTCTTCACTCTCTCTCTCTCTCTACTCTCTCTCTCTCTCTCTCTCTCTTCTCTTCCTCTCTCTCTCTCTCTCTCTCTCTCTTCACTCCCTCTCTCCCTCTCTTTCTCTCTCTCTTCTCTCTCTCTCTCTCTCTCTCTCTCTCTCTCTCTCTCTCTCTCTCTCCTCTCTCTCTCTCTCTCTCTCCTCCTCTCTCCCTCTCCATCTCTCAAAATAGTAAGTGAACATGAAAAAGAATGAAAGGTAATTCCATCTATTTGAGTTACCAGCGAGCAATCATGTGACGTTAGTGGTTGTTAACGGTTGCGAGAAAGAGACTTCAAGCGGTCTTGATCTTCAACGAGCTCTGTCGTTTTATCTCTATATCTATCTGTGTGTGCGTGCGTGCGTGCGTGCGTGCGTACATATATATATATATATATTATATATATAATATGTTGATATAATGTGTTATGGATCAACATTTAATCGCCATCAGTTATTACCGTCAACGTAATAATTGTAAAATAATGTCAAACATGTATAGTGAAACATGCTACAATAAAAATAGAGAAGAGGACATTGAACATGCTGTTGATAGATTCAGGTTTTAAGAAGTTGCTCAAACTGCAAAGGTTTAGGAGACAAAAAAGCTATAAGACTGTCTTTCCCCATTCAAAATTTCGCAAACGTATATTTTACGAGGGAATTTGTAGTCATATAACCACGAATTAGCGTAGTTTACGGCACCGAGGCAGAAAAAAAAACATGAAGCCCTGTTTGCAAGATGGCGTCTCAAACCCTCGTAATGTTTACCTCGTCTCTTCGGAAATTCTTTGTACCTTCCATTTATCTTTTACGCCCAGATTATCACCTCCATTACCATTTGGATCACCTTTATCACGAGGAGGTTGTCATCGAGGCCCATACCAAAGTATGACGTCAGGCGCGACCGAAGCAAATCCCCAAAATATGTTATCGGGTGATCACGTGACCGCCTCATGAGTGGTCGGATGATTCGTGTAGAGAGCGAGGGTCTCAGGGCGTACGTGCGTGTGTTTGTGCGTGTGGGTGTGTATGTGCGTGTATGTGTGGGTGAGTATGTGTGTGTGGGTGTGTTTGTGCGTGTGTGTGTATGTGCGTGTGGATGTGTACATGCGTGTGGGTGTGTACGTACGTACGTGTGGGTGTGGGTGTGCGTGTGGGTGTGGGTGTGTATGTGCGTGTGCGTGCGTTTGTGCGTGTGGGTTTGTATGTGCGTGCTTGCGTGCGTGTGGTTGTGTATGTGCGTGTGCGTGCATTTGTGCGTGTGTGTGTGGGTGTGTGTGCGTGTGGTGTGTACGTACGTGTGCGTGTGGGTGTGTACGTACGTGGGGTGTGTACGTACGTGTGCGTGTGGGTGTGAATGTGCGTGCGTGCGTTTGTGCGTGTGGTGTATATGTGCCCATGCGCGCGCTGTTGTGCGTGCGTGTGCTTATTCCCCTATAGGTGTACCTTTTCATGTTATTTTACTCGTATCTTATGTATTTGCTTATTTTCGAGAACAAAGGGAATGTGCCCCTGTATATTCTCTCCCCTTGCTTGACTCACCACAAATGACTCACTGACACGTGGATGCGTCTTTCTACCTGGATTGACGTTATCTTGCAACTTTCCGGATCTCTTAAATTCACGTGTCCTGCCATGGCCCCCTTAATCTCGCATTTATTCTGATAATTCACCTGTCCCTCTTAATTTGGCATTATTGCTACGTACTGTCTCGCCTCAGTTCACGTGTTGTCTCTTAACACCCTTTCGTCTCTTCATTTATTCTAATATTTCACTTATCCTAATTTTTTCTCCTAATTCCCCCGTCAGTTCAGCATAATTTTTTTTCCAGAACTTTCAAGTAACGTTCATTCTTATTCTCTATTATTTTTAGAACATACTCGTTTATAATAATTAAAAAAGAGACACACCTGCTTAGATTAATTTTTCTAGACTGTGGTGTTTTTATTTATGTTGATGTAAGCGGGTTTACTGTTCTTGTCTCTATTAATTTATCGATTCATTTATTTAAGTTTGTTTTATTTCATTGTTCGTTTTTTTAACTATTGATTTATTATTTAACAAGTTGTTTATTTTTGTTGATGTAAGTGGGTTTACCGTTCTTGTCTCTATTCATTTATCGATTCATTTATTTAAGTTTGTTTTATTTTATTTTATTGTTCGTTTTTTAACTATTGATTTATGATTTTAAAAAAATAATTTTGTTTGTTTATTTATCTGTCTATTCGCTTATTTAATCTAAGATCGAGACACCTAGAGTCCCTGAGATATTGCAAGTGTTAAAAGGAAGAGGATGGTTCACGGTAGAATAAAAAGTAAATAAATATATGAATAAAGGTAAAATATAAAGTTAATTCGCGGTAGATGTTAAAATTAAATTATTGTTATCATTATGCTGGCCTTTGGATTCAGGATTTCAGATCGACTGAGTTCGGATTTGCTTGAATTCTCGCATGAAACTTTTATCGTGAATGTTGGTGGTGGTGGTGATGTGGTTATGGATGGTGTGGTGGAGGATGGGGTGGTGTTGATGGTGTGGTTGAGGATGGTGTGGTGTTGATGATGTGGTTGAGGATGGTGTGGTTGACGATGTGTGTGTGATGGTGTGGTAGAGGATGA